GCCCGGAGGCCTAGTGGTTTTGCGGGCCAGGCCCAGGGTCCTCGTGCTGTGTGCAGCCTAGGAACTTAGTGTCTTGTGTCCCAGCTGCTCCAGCTGTGGCTGAAAGGGGCCAACATAGAGCTTGGGTTGGGGCTTCAGAGGGTGCAAGCCGCAAGCCTTGGCAGCTTCCACGTGGTGTTGAGCCTGCCAGTGCACAGAAGGCAAGAACTGGGGTTTGGGAACCTCTGCCTGGATTTCAGAAGATGTATGGAAGTGCCCGGACGCCCAGGTGGGAGCCTGCTGCAGGGGTGGGGCCCTCATGGAGAACCTCTGCTAGGGAAGTGAGAAGGGAAAAGAGGGGTCCGAGCCCCAGCACAGAGTCCCTACTGGGGCACTGCCTAGTGAAGCTGTGAGATGAGGGCCGGTGTCCTCCAGACCCCAAAAATGATAGATCCGCTGACAGCTTGCACCATGCACCTGGAAAAGCTGCAGACACTCAGTGCCAGCCCATGAAAGCAGCCAGGAGGGAGGCTGTACCCTGCAAAGTGACAGGGGCAGAGCTGCCTGAGACCATGGGAACCCACCTCTTGCATCAGCCTGGCCTGGATATGAGCCCTGGAGTCAAAGGAGATCATTTTGGAGCTTTAAGATTTGACTGCCCTTCCAGATTTCAGACTTGCCTGGGGCCTGTAGCCCCTTTGTTTTGGCCAATTTCTCCCATTTGGAGCAGCTGTATTTACCCAATGCCTGTATCCCCATTGTATCTAGGAAGTAGCCAACTTGCTTTTGATTTTACAGGCTCATAGGCTGAAGGGACTTACCTTGTCTCAAATAAAATGTTGGACTGTGGACTCTCGAGTTAATGCTGAAATGAGTTAAGACTTTGAGGGACTGTTGGGAGGGTATGATTAGTTGTAAAATGTGAAGACATGAGATTTGGGAGGGGCCAGGGGTGGAGTGATACGGTTCGGTTCTGTGTCCCCATCCTAATCTCATATTGTAGCTACCTACCTCCCACTGGGAAGGACCTGGTGGGTGATGATTGCATCATGGGGTGGGTCTTTTCCCTTGCTGTTCTTGTGATAGTGAATGGGTCTTACAAGATCTGATGATTTTAAAAATGGGAGTCTTCCTGCACAGGCTGTCTCTTTGCCTGCCATCCACATAAGATGTGACTTCCTCCTCCTTGCCTTCTGCCATGATTGTGTTGTCTCCCCAGGCATGTGGAACTGTAAGTACAGTAAACCTCTTTCTTTTGTAAGTTGCCCACTCGCAGGTATATCTTTATGAGCAGCATGAAAATGAACTAATACACTACCTTAGAGTATCGGTGTGAAAAGAGGCAATGTTTGAAAATGTTTAGGTTGGTGTTCCCCTTACTGTGAGCATTCAGTAAATGTGAGCTGTAATACTCACTGCTGGGCTTCACTCCCACGGTCATTTTTGTGTATGCATTTGAATTTTTAGACTTAAAAAATACAGTTTTAGATTTACAGAACAATTGAAGAGATATTACATAGAGTTCTCTACACCCACCCCATCCCTACCCCTCAGTTTCCCTCTACAATTTCCCCCATGATAAACAACTTACATCGGCGTGGCACATTTGTTAAAATTAATGAACCAACATTGATACACGATTGTTAACGATAATCCATAGTTTATATGAGGGCCCACTCTTTGTGTTATATAGTTCTATGGTTTTGACAAGAGCATATTAACATGTATCCACTGAAAGGGACCGGAATATGGTACCCAAAAATATGCTACTTTGGCATAAGAATTATTTTGAGCTGAAGGCAATTTAGAAGCAGCGAACTCAGGAAGAGCTCTCTGACTGCTCTTTTCTGTCTAAAAGCAGGGCATAAATTTCCCCTTTTCCATATCAGGGAGAGAAAAATGAGTCTCCATTCTCACAACCAGAGAGAACTTGAGTTTGTGCAACAAATCTCAGTAAACAACCTTTACCTACCATGTACTTCCTAGTCACTTTCTCCTAATTTACCATCCCTAGGAACTGCAGTTCCCCCGTTCTTTTGTCTAGTCATGTCTTTAAAAGTTATCATCTTTTGCTAAAATGGTGCATTAGTCCCTTTTCCCACTGCTGATAAAAACATATGCAAGACTGGGTAATTGATAAAGAAAAAGAAATTTAATGGACTCAGTTCCATGTGGCTGGGGAGGCCTCACAATCATGGCAGAAGGTGAAGGACATGTCTTACGTGGTGGCAGGCAAAACAAGAGAGTGAGAACAAAGCAAAAGGGGTTTCCCCTTATAAAACCATCAGATCTCATGAGACTTACTTACTACCATGAGAACAATATGGGAGAAACCTATGATTCAGTTATTTCCGACTGGGTCCCTCCCCCTGCATGTGGGAATTATGGGAGCTACAATTCAAGACAAGACTTGGGTGGGGACACAGCCAAACCACATCAAATGGTATGTAAGGCCCAGAATCTAACTACCTCTTTGGGTTTTCCGTTCTCTTCTAAGAAATCCCTGTGCACATAAAATTAAAAATAAACTCTGTATGCCTCTTCTCTGATTAATCTATCTTTTTCCAATTTTTTTTTCTTCTGAGACAAAGTCTTACTCTGTCACCCAGGCTGGAGTCCAGTGGTGTGATCTCAGTCACTGCAACGTCTGCCTCCCAGGTTCAAGCAATTCTCCTGCCTCAGCCTCCTGAGTAGCTGGGATTACACGTGCACACCACCATGCCGGCTAATTTTTGTATTTTTAGTAGAGACAGGTTTCACCATGTTGGTCCGGATTGTCTCAAACTCCTGACCTCAGGTGATCCACTCACCTCGGCCTCCCAAAGTGCTGGGATTACAGGTGTGAGCCATCACGCCCAGCCTTTTCAGTTTAACTCTTAGATTCCAGCTACAGAAACTAAGAGGGTAGAGGAAGTTTTTCCTCCCCTACATATTCATTATAGTTTCGTACAGAATGATTTAACCACCCTAAACATCCCCTGTGTACCTATTCATCTTTTTCTCCCTCCCCTAAAATCTCTGGCAGCCACTGTCTTTTTAATGTCTCTTTAGTGTTGCCTTTTCCAAAATATCTTATAGTTGGAATCCTGTGGTATGTAGCTTTTTCAGACTGCTGTCTTTCACTTAGCAATATGACTTAAAGTTTTATTTTTAAATAATGCATATGATTTGTAGTTAATGGAAAGGATTACATAGAGCTTATTTTAAGTGAAGATATGGGAGTTGCTTTTGGTATTTTTACTTCCTTGATACAATGTGAGACTGATTGGCAGGCTTTCTCTTCCAGTGCTGAACAGAGGGTAGAAAGAAAAACACGAGGATTCTGGATTCTGTCTTTATAAGCATATTGTTTGGAGTTACAGCTCATCTATGTTGAGTATAGTGCAGTGGCTCTTACAGCTAATCCATGAACTAGCTGCAGCCTGAAAATACAGATTCCTTCATCCCTGGGAGTTTCTGTCTCTGGAGCACTGGAGAAAGACCTAGAACTATTTTAATGGGCTTCCCATGTGATACTTACATGGAATCATTTCCTTGGTGGTAAAAAGGAATACTGGCTTTGGTCTCAGAGTGTTTGACATTATGTCCTCTCTCTTCGTTGAAGCATTAAATATTTATTTAACTTATCCCATGCACCAGACCTTGGATTGATATAACAGTGAGTTTAATAGTCATGTTTTCTACCCCTTACAGGCTTACACTGGAGAAGAGGCAGGCATTAAGTAAACAATTACAGAAATAAATCTTATTCATCAACTATGCTAAGTGCTAAGAAAGAAAATACAAAGTGCTATGAGAGAGTGATAACAAAGGGATCTGGCTTTGTCTGAAATGGGGTCAGTGGTTCACTTGTCCCTGAGATAATGAGTTTGAACTGAGATAATATTTACATGACGAGGGGAATATGTCTGCCACCAAGGCGCACAAGGTCCGTATGGCTTGGAGCACAAGGAGAGAGAGATGAGGCTGCAAATTAAACACTTGATATCTGTCCTTCTGCACATAAACTGTCAAGGTCACTGGGTGTCTAGCTATCCTCCTACTCAACTGCACTGAAATTTCTCCATTTCTCCAAAACATGTTTAGTAATTCGGCTGATTATATTTATCAAGAGCTTAAACAATCAGATTGTTCATAGCCTTTTATTAAAAAGTGTTAGAATTTTAGTTGTTAGTGAATGATTCTTAAGGCTGCTCTATCTTTGGGTTAGGGCCAATTATTCATTTACTGAAAGGTATATGTAGAAAAGAAAAGGATCTAATTGTGCATTGCCACTACTGTGTAACGCTTGACCTTTTGTCAAGTGTCTGTAGCCTTATTTCACCTTCACTGTAGGTTTGCGGAAATGTATTATTTTCATACCAATTATACAGATGCAGAAGTAAAGGCTGAGAGAAATGTAGAGGTACACTGCTTTGACACAGTGAGGAATTGACTGCAATGGTTGGCTATCAGGGAACAGTCACTGTTTCTAGCCATGATCATTTTATTACTAACATCATGTCAGTTTTGAGCCCCAGGAATGTGTTCTCTTATGGAAGATATACAATCTAGACATACTTATGTGAACCCTGAAAATCTGAGACAGGTGTCAGTTAATTTAGAAAGTTTATTTGCCAAGGTTAAGGATGCATGCCCATGACAGCCTCAGGAGGTCCTGATGTTATGTGCCCAAGGTGTTCAGAGCACAGTTTGGTTTTATACGTTTTAGGGAGACATGAGGCATCAATTAGCGTATGTAAAAAGAACATTGGTTTCATCTGGAAAGGCAGGAGAACTCGAAGCAGCGAGCAGGCTTCCAGGTCATTAGTAGATAAGAGACACATGGTTGCATTCTTTTGCATTTCTGACCAGCCTCTCCAAAGGAGGCAATCAGATACGCATTTATCTCAGTGAGCAGAGGGGTGACTTTGAACAGAATGGGAGGCAGGTTTGCCCTGAGCAGCTCCTGGCTTGACTTTTCCCTTTAACTTAGTGATTAAGGGGGTCCAAGATATTTTCCTTTCACACTTACGTCCCAGGACCTTACTTAATGCTGGAAACGAGGTTCTACGGGGGACTCCGGTGTTTTTTCTCCTACTCTCCGAGGCCAACCAAGATCTCTTCAGATATCTTCAGCTCAGCCCAAAGGAGAAGCTTTCAGGGTAAGTGAATTTTCCTAAAAGTGTAAACTATATTAAGAATTCTGCCCATTTGGGCTGGGATTATGCTTTATCTCCTGATGGACCTTTTTAAAATGAATCATGTTTCTATCTTCCATCTTAGCAGATGATGAAAGCAATTGCTACTGAAATGGAACCATGTGGTACGCCGTGTATTTAAGCAAGTGTAGGTTTATTTATACACATCGAAGACAGTAGACAATGTAGAATTATTTATACACATTGAAGACAGTGGCAATGTAGAATTATTTATTTTAAGGATACAAGACCACTTGCCCTCCTTCCTCAATATATTTCTTATATCTTATTATAATGCCTGCATTTTACACTGTAAAAATCATGGAATTTGTAAGGCCTTTAATATAAAAAGCCCCTGTTAAAATAACATGCAACCTAAGAAAAGTAACCTATTAACGCCCATTAAGGCTAAAGTCTTAATTGTAACCATGAAGTTTGAAAGTTATGGCTAAATGATTTATTATTCAGAAGCCAAAGGTTTCTAGATTTGTCTGACTCCAAGAACAGAGTCAAAAGTTCAAATGATTCTAATAATGCAAAAATATCAAGAAATTATGGGATCTTCTCATTCCACCCTTCATCTTTATCCTAAATTGCTACTATTTCACGATATATTTGTTAGCCATGCTGCTTACTGTGAGGTTATCAAGCGTAGTCTACAATACAGAGCTTTCACTTTCTTTTCAGAGCTTTATGGGAAAACTGATTTTCCCTTTCGAATTTTGAATATCTATTGTGTCTGTTCTAAATGCTACGGTAGTTGGTCTCAGATTGAGCTGTGTTTTTATACACTGTCACAGACAGTGGCATTTATAAAGCATCTTTTTGCATATAATTCTTATATTTGATAGCGATTATATTTTGTATTTTAATAAACTAATCTGGGCTGGGTGTAGTGCTTCATGCCTGTAATCCCAGCACTTTGGGAGGCCAAGGTAGGTGTATCACTTGAGCCCAGGAGTTTGAAACCAGTTACAGAAACTCTTTCTCTACAAAAAGTACAAAAATTAGCTGGCTGTAATGGCACATACCTGTAGTCCTAGCTACTTGGGAGGCTGAGGTGAGAGGATCACCTGAGTCCTGGGAGGTCGAGGGTGCAGTGAGCCAAAATCATGTTACTGCACTGCAGCCTGGGCAACAGAGTGAGACCGTGACTCAAAAAAAATTATCCTGAATTTTCCTTTAAAAAAATAAAACGTATTTAGAGCTCAGGTTTGTCTAGTTGAATTCTAAGTCGTATTACTCAGCTGAGTCTGTTTATGACCTTGTTGAATTGTCAACAGAGGCAGTGGATTACTGATTAATTAAGTATATATTCTCTCCAGCAGGAGAGTGGAGGAAGGAATGTTCTTGCGTTTCCATGTTACCTGACACCATCATTTTAACTTTATTCATTAACTTTATTTTACAATGTGCAAGACCCAAAACAAAAATCTGCCTTTAGCTCCAGTTTGGCTCCGAAATAAAATATTACTTTGTTCATTCATTTTCATGTGTTGCATTAAAGTTCTGCCACCGTACTGATGCTAGGATCCTCACCAGAGGGAAATGGATGGTGCACATTTTGTTAAGGACATAGAAATCCAGAGCATAAGGAAAAGGGCCAGGCTATGTTGGGTTGGACATCTCGGATTATGATGCTGGGTAGCCAGGAAGCTTTGGTTTCCCACATATGGTTTGGATATAGGTACCTGGATATTGGAGATATAGGAAGTAGAACATAAGAAATGATTTTTCCAGTTCACAGCTTTATTTTGAGAAAAGCTCTAAGAAAGTAAAAAGGAGCTGAAGATATAGGAAGTAGAATATAAGAAATAATGTTTCCAATTCACAGCTTTATTTTGAGAAAAGCTCTGAGCAAGTAAAAAGGAACAAATTCTTATCTGAGTAGAATTTCAACAATCTTGCTTGTGATAGCCAGACTCATGCAGGTATGTCCTTGGGATTTATCATATACACACTTGGTTCAGTGTAGAGCATGCTCTAGCAATTTGAGAAGCTAGGAAAACCTCTCAGACCCCTTTAACCCAGACAGCAAGAATCATTGAGGGAATGAGTCACTCAATGAATCATTCCCAACTGGAGTAAAGGATTCTCTAGTCTAGTGATTCTCGATGAATAAGCATTAGATCACCACTGTCAAAAATGAATGTAGGTTAAAATGCAGATTCCTGGGCCCTACCTCAGACAACCTGGAGCAAAATTTCTATGAAGTGAGTTCTAAGAATATGCATGTTCACAGACATGCTAGAATGTCCTTATTCATATTTACAGAAGACACTTATCCTTGGGGATGTGTCAAACCATCCAAGTGAGAAAGAAGGTAGAACTTTGAGCCTGCATCTCAAATGGGCTGAGATATTTTTGGTAGAGCTTCTTCTGTGAACAAAACAATAGTCACATGAGTAGCAAAAGGCTTCACAAAATATTTCAACTTCCACGGGTGGCATAACTTTCTGTTGTTGTCAACTCCTGATTTGCTCTAGAGAAATTTTATTTTTAAGAGTTCTCTCTGATAAATGTGCTGAGGCACTGAGTGTACTTTTAGTTCTTTCATTGGAATATAATCTAATAAAATAAAATTTCAAGCATTTATCTGGATGACATCTTTTAGAATAGCATAGTAGGGCAAATAGATTTGTGTCTATGTATATTATTTATGTGTAGTATGATAGCAAAAATGATAGCACTTTCTTAGTGCTTCAATAGTAATCTAATCTTAATTTATACTACTTAATTTTGACAAAGAAGTAGAATTGAAGTAGAGATTTGATATTGAAGACATTTACCCACCAGCTTTGGAGCAACAATTTGTATATGGAGAATGGGCTTTAGATTCACATAGATGTTAGTCCCACCTTTTCCGTTTGCTCATTGTATGACCTTGGCATATTATTTAGCTTCTCTGAATCTGTATTTTCTTAACTAAAAAAAGAGGATGATAGCACATTACTTCTGTGATATAGAAAATCACTTTCAGGCCAATATGGTGGCTCACACCTGTAATACCAACATTTTGGGATCCTAAGGCAGGCGGATCACTTGAGCTCAGGAATTTGAGGTTGCAGTGAGCTGTGACTGAGCCATTGCATTACAGTCTGGGTGATACGGTGAGACTCCATCTAAAATAAATAAATAAATAAATAAAAAATAAAAAATAAAGAAAGAAAGGAGAGATGGAGAAAGGAAGAAAGAAAAAGAAATATACAAGAGAAAGAAACAGAAAAAAAAAAGAGAAAAAAAATCAGTTGAACATAGTACCTGGACCATATCAAATTTCACAAAATGTAGTGCCCTTCGTTGCACTGGAGAAAAGAGTTAGGTGGCATTTTGTAGCTCTGTATGCTCAGATACAGTTTGTTTTTGAGCTGGGGATACTTTAGACTTCATCTTTTCTTTCTTATTCCTGTAATTTTCCTTTATTCATAATGCTGTCATCCCTTTCCTACCCATGGAAACAGTGAAATGTAGGAACAACCATGCTGTTATTAATTTTACACAGAGCTTGCTGACAGTGACCTCTCCAGCAGTAACATTCACTTTTTTGCCTTAAAAATTTTCTCACAAATGTTCTCCACTAGGCATGACCATTACTCTTAGTCCTCGAACTGCTTCTGTGTGGCACAGTCATCAGTAATATGTACATTTCCAGTTTGGCTCGGGTCTATTTCTCTGCTTTGCTCAGAAGTTACCACTGACCTTTCTAATTAGCTGAGTTGCAGATGACTGAGCTTGCACATACGAGGGATGTTCAGAAAATAAATCTTCCCTGTGTCTGTCTAGCCAGACTCCAAGAGTCAGGAAAAATTCTGCTGAAAGTCCATAAATCTTCCATCTTTCTTCCTGAAAGCATGTAAGAGAACAGTTCTCCTGTCACTATGTATGACAGCATTCCTGAATGTGTGGATAGGGTTTTTGATGTCAAACTTTTGTACTAAGATGGCAGGTGGCAAGAGTTAGCATCCTGCAGTTAGAAGCAAAATTAGAGATTTGGACTGGTTAAGGATACCACATTGATATGTGTGGGGTATGTAAATCACCTAAGCTCTGCAAAAGTACTGAGAATGACTTGTATTTTCCAGACTGAAAACCTAGCATGAGGAGGAGGGATTGAAGGGGGTCCTGGAACAGCTCTGGAATACATCAAAAGCTTAAGGGGAGACTAAGGAATTCAGACCATAGAGTTCATCTTATTCCACATAAAATGGGTGTTTCAGCATGTCCAACCCCATAGATAAGGAAAATTCACCTTCCCAATAAGTTAAACCAGTTGTTTGCTGTTAAACAAAGCAGGTTTTTATGAAGCTGTCCTAGCCAGGAGGCAAGAACAGGTCCCTGGGCTCTATGACCATGGAAATCACTAGATGAGTAAAAGTAAAGCTTGGCAAAATTTAGGCGGAATCTCAGACAAAGATTGAGAAAGACTTTTCTCATCTGTGAATCAGAGTTCCAGGACTTTCCCAAGGATGAAAGCAGTTGCGTGGCTGAAAGGCAGCAGCCCAGAGCAAAGCGGATGCTCTCTAGCGGGGGTCACAGCTGGTAAAGACTGAAAATCCAGATCCTAAAATTCAACCAGACCTATCATACCAGCAGGCCAACATGAAATGACGGCAGATCTCACTGGAGAGACAAGGTACTCAGCCTGCAGATTGCTTTCTATGTACTAGACAAGTAATTACGAGTAAGCCTTGAGATACAATCTGATAGCCTTTGACAGCAATTTGACATTGCTATATCCAGGTGTCGCGTCAGTACATTTATATTGTACATGTTTTGGACATTTTAGATTTCATTTTTTTAAAATGTCAAACTGGGGGAAAGATTGGTCCTTCATCCCAGATTGTCTTTATGCTCATTTTTGTTTTCTTCCCTGCCCATGCCCACCTACTACACTCATGTCCGTCCATCCTGTCCCTGACTACTCATATGCCTACTGGGAAAAGCTCACCACACTAGATCCCAGCTTCTTCTCCCCTTAAGGCACATCACTTACACGAATGTTGGGTGCTGACTTGATGGCAATAATATTTCTTTTGAAATTTTTAAGAATATGACTCTTCAGCAAAAACTAGAAAAATTTAAAAGTTCACATGACTGTCAGAGAAACTGTAGCAGAGACAGTAGCAGTCCTCGCTGGGAAATCCAGGAAGCATCTGGTTGGGCTGAGGAGGTTCCTGGAGATCTTTTATGGAGGAAATGATTTTGCCAACAGTTCCTTGATTATTATTTAATCATACAGATGGCTCTCTTGAGTTTCTTTAAGACCTGTCAGATAGGTACAAACAAGATTTTATATTCAATAGCTTATACCTGCAAGCAGTACAGATTTGTAAAAGATTGGGCTTTTAAGGCAAAAGTAATTGGTGTGAAGTATTAGCCACTTAATGGAAGATGATAAAATGGTACATGTTTCAATCAGGATTATAAGCTGTACTCAATGTGGCTATTTGTAGCTGAAGTTGACTGATTTCTGTGCAATGATGGATTTCTTTGTGGCAGCTAAACTGCTCAGCCTAGAGTTATACAGTCTTCAATGACGTTTCCACCCTTTGCTTGGGTCACCGAGGAGCTTGACTCACCTGGAGATGGGTAGACATGTTTGCTCAGGACACATTCAAGGGTGCTTTTCTCCCTGTAGGAATGATCTCCCATCATGTCTGGAACTTCTCTCCGTCTCTCTAGTGAGGATGAATGCTGCCTTCCTCTGGGGTAGTGGAGGACAATCAGGTCACTGCCAGAAGACGGCTTTTCACACTCTCGCTTTCCTCGAGAGAATGTAAAACTAATTGGAGTGAGGCATGAGAGGATGAAATTTGGCCAAATTGGCAGGTGTGAATGTCCTTTCTTCACATCGAGTAGAGTCATCTGGGGCAAATGACGGCTGCCTTGATGTGAGACTGTTTCTCATTGCACAGTGCTGGCCACTGCATGACACTCTCCACCAACAGAGAAGTGGAGTGCTACTGTGAAAAGAACTGACAGATATGATTTGGTTCTGGAAAGTGAGTTTCATGACGCCATGCTGGAAACTAACTCATTAGCTGTGATCTTGCAAAAATTCTGGCATTCTGAGATAGAGCAATTTCATCACCAATATGTCATATAAAGAGGTTTTGGAGTAGCTTTAAAAGGCACAGTAAATCAATATGAAAATAAAATGTGTCCATCTAACAAGAATGGTCCTCTTGAAGGAGTCAGTAAAAGTGTGTGTGCTTGTGCCTGCCTTTGTGTGTGCAGGCATGTGTGCATATATGTGTATGTGCAGCATGTATGTGTGTGTATGCATGTATAATATAAAGAAAGAAAAAAATTTTCTTGCTTAGGAGGACTTTCATAGAACCTTCTAAAAATTATATAGCCAAGGCATGTCTCTTAATTTTGGAACTACTAGGTGTTAAAAAGCAAAGGAAATGAACATCAGAGCAAGTGAAATATGAGAGCCAGAAAATAGCAATGTGAGTTATGATATCAATAGACCAATGAATTGCCAATGATGCAGAAGAGCTTTATGAGCCTTGGCAGGCAATTAGGTAAGAGTAGTTTCTTCTCGAGTGGCAATTTGAAGTGGTTATTAACTATATGCTGAAATTTGATGGGCTACAAAAACCCAGTTAAAAAGAAAACCATTCATATTGAATTGTTCCTTCTACTCCATTCAAAAAACCTTCATGATGAGCTGAAGTAAGAGATTTTTATACCAAACAAAGATGAATAAACTGAAAGTATGAAACCTTCTATTTTTAGTGAATCCTGACATTCTCTACTGCTTGCATTCCCAGCTTCCAGATAATATGTTCTCCAGTTGGCTGGTTATTGTGCTATAAATCACATTTCACTATATCAGCAAACGATGGCATGAACCTGAAGAGTAAAACAAAATCAACTTGGAAAATACTGACATAAAACCTCTGATGTCTAAAGGTAGTCCCTTCCCTTAGAAAATGAGGGACAATAAAGTGGAGTTAAAAATATAAAAAGATAATACTACAAGTTGTTTTCTGCCTTTATGTGCATATACTTGTTTGTATCTACATGGTTTTGAAAACAAATGACCAATCCATCAGTTCAACGGAATAAAAGAAGGTGTCAGTTTTTTTGCTTCAGATATATATATCTCAATCAAACAAAATACTTTGTATATATATTACATATACCAAATTATGTATGAAATTATTATTGATTACAATGGCTTTGTATTCTCAAATAGATGGTTTTCTTTTAATTGTGTTTATTTTTGGAGAGATAGGATCTCACTGTGTTGTCCAGGCTTGTCTCAAACTCCTGGCCTCAAGTGATTCACCTGCCTTAGTCTCCCAAAGTGCTGGGGTTAAAGGTGTGAGCCACTGCACTATTTTTAAAGATTAAATTATATCAAAACAGTTAAATTCCAAGTGAAGAAAAACATAAAGTGGAAGATGATTAAAAAAGCAAGTGTTTGCTGCCCTGCATTTGCTGTTCTTTTTACTCTTTGTTGCTGAATCACACTTACGATAAATTTGACCGTTCATTTTAAAACAAAGCTAAATATTGAGTTTTGGGATATTTAGAAAGTTGAGGCTACAGAAAAGTATTCTTATCTCAATCAATAGGAAAAGTGGAATTTTTGCCAATGCTATGTGATAACATAGCTTATCACTAGCCAATTTCTCACTATCCACGTAAGATTTTGCCAGTGGATATAAATCTACTTCCTTACTTTCTGTGTCAATCAAAAATAGTCTCCTGGCATATTATTTTGTGTTTCACAGACTAGAAATTTTTAGCAACCTGAAGACATGGGACTTGAAGACATGAGCAGCACCGAGAATTATATTCTCTTTCAGTCTTCATAGCCAAAGGAAGTTAGAGTCAAATAATTCCCAGAACAGCAGAGAGCTAGAAAATATTAAACTCACAGGCTAAGGCTTTGCCATTGAAAGCTGACTAAGAAGATTTTTAGGGTGGGTAGGAAGAACAACACAATCTAGGAGTTTGGAATCTTCTTGTATTTCCCCTTCACTGAGATTTTTCTCAGTAAATAGTTAATTAAAATTCTAGGATCTCGGTTTCTGCATCTGTAATGTAAAAGATTTGAATGGATAAACTGTAAGGTTCCTTTCAAATCAAAATTTTTTATCCTTGTATGGCACTATCCATAATTACACAGATGTATAATCTAATCCTATAGAACTACACATTAATTTCCCAAGTATGATGTTTATTATCCCTTCTGATGGTTGCATGCTATTTGTTACGTGGCTTTGACCTTTCCTGGTCTGTGCTACTACTGCTATGTCTCTGAATCAGGGCTTTGGCTGAGCAGGGATGTCCAGGTGCATTCTTTATGACCCAAAGAGGCTCACAATTCCCTACAGGAACATTGAAGGGACCTTGAAGAATTTATGTTTGTGTTGGTAAATTTCCCTGCATGGCCTCCTTGGGAGCAATGAAAGAAGTGTGTATTCTGACAGCTCCAACTTCATAATGCCTGTGTTTGCTCAGCATTATTTCAGTCATAGGTATCTGCAACCCCAGAAAGTGCAAAGACATCATTACAGCTTCATAAATATGTGACCAATACTCTTTAGAGGGGACTTAAGATGGACTAGCACTTTGTAGCCAGAGGTTCCAGTCCCAGTTGTAACAGCTGGCTGTGTAACCTTGGGAAATTTGACCACTCTTCTTTGTAAGTGGGCTCAATAGATTACATGAGACCATATTTGTAAAGCACTTAGTGTGATATCGCAGATTCAAGGAGTGTTGTCTTTGCACTGCCCTTCTGTGCTGTGCTTATCCTGCTACAAATAAAATGAATTCAACCTGTTAGACTGTCAGCACCTTCATAACTGGCCTTTCTCTTTTGGCTTCAGGCATGCCATCTGCAGTATTTTGCACCAACTTCAAGAACATAACATACTTGTAAAATACTTGTCCGTGTGGACTCTGAATGAATTTTTACAGCATTAAAAACAAAAGCAGACAAACAGGGCAAGGAACAAGAACAAGCCATTTACAGCAGACTAAACACAAATGGCTAATCAGTATAGGAAAAAATGGTCCAACTTTATCAAAACTTTAAAAACAGTTTTGAGATATAATTTGCATACCATATGATTCACTTATTTAAAGTTTTTACCTCAGTGGTTTAGTATGTTGATAGACTTGTGTGACCATCATCACGATTAATTTTAAAAGTGTTATTACCCCCATAAATATCCATATCCATTAGTAGTTATTTCTTTTTTATCCCTTATTTCTTCCCTTCCCCTTAGCTTCCAGCTATAGGTAACCACTGGCTACTTTCTGTCTCTACAGATTTGCCCGTTCTAGACATTTCATACACACAGAATCACACAATATGTTGTCTTTTGTGATTAGCTAGTTTTGCTCAGCAAATTGTTTCAAAAGTTTATCCATATTCTAGCACATTCACTTTATTCCTTTACAAAAATTTGACATTAAAAAAAAATTGTACTTTAAGCTCTGGGGTACATGTGCTTATCCTGCAGGATTGTTGCATAGGTACACATTTGCTGTGGTAGTTTGCTGTCTCTGTCCGCCTGTCACCTACATCAGGCATTTTTCCCGGTGTTATGCCTCCCCAACACCCCCAA